CTCAAACCATTTTGAAATAGTAAACCTGTATCTTGGGTACCATTTAAGTAGCGGAGAATTCACTTTACAGCCAAAAATCTACTCACAACACTAACTGCTTGAGATAAGTCCGGTCTGGTGCATACCATAGCATACAAAAGACATCCAACTGCACTGGCATATGGTATATATATATATCATCTCCTCACGTTCTTTCTCTGTCTTTGGACAATGTTGAAGAAATAGGTTGAAGTGTTGAACTAATGGTGTGCTCACTGCCTTAGCATCCTTCATATTAAATTTGGTCAATACCTTCTCAATATACCATTTTTGGGTCAACCACAATTTGAATTTCCATACCCAATATTTTCTTTGCTCCACCTAAATCTTTCATCTCAAATTCCATGCTCAATTCATGCTTTAACTTAACAATCTCATGCAAACTCTTATAAGCAATAAGTATGTCATCAACATAAAGCATCAATAGTATAATGAAATCATCATGAAGGAAACGAAAATAAACACAACTATCATACTTACTTCTGGTGTAGCCATGTGAAGTCATAAAAGTGTTAAAGCACTTGTACCATTGCCTCGGTGCTTGCTTAAGGCCATAGAACGACCTATTCAACTTGCATACCAGTTGTTCTTTACCTTTCTCAACAAACCCATTGGGCTGCATCATGTAAATTTCCTCTTCTAAGCTCCCATGGAGGAAAGTTGTCTTAACATCAAGCTGCTCCAACTCCATATCCCACATAGCTACCATTGCCAACATGATTCTAATGGAACAATGCTTCACTATTGGAGAAAAAATCTCATTAAGGTCCACTCCTTCCTTTTGTGCATATCCTTTTGCTACTAACATTGCCTTGTACCTAACTGGTTGGCTTGCAGATGAAGCCTCCTTCTTTCTGTACACCCACTTGCACCCAATAGCCTTCTTACCCTTAGGCAATTTTACTAACTTCCAAGTTTCGTTCTTCCAAAGAGAAGTCATCTCCTCTTTCATAGCACCCATCCATAGTGACCTGTCTTTATCTTTCATTGCCTCCTTATAGGTCATTGGATCATCACATTTAATTGTTAATGCATATGCAACTGTATCATCAAATCTAACTGGTCTCTTGATGTTCCTTTTAGCCCTACCTGCAGCAATGGAATTTGGTGGTTCCTCTTGGGATTGTGCAACTTCTTGGCTTTGATGAGAAGAATCTATAGTGATTGGTTCACTACCCATTTTCTCTTCCTCACTTAGCTCCACCTGAATTGAGGTATTGCTCTTCTCACCATCTCGGATTTGCTGCTGATTTTTTTTCAACATAAAAGCTTCATCAAATACAACATCTCTGCTTATCTCAACCTTCTTGGTGTTAGGATTCCAAACCCATTTTCTCTTCCTCACTTAGCTCCACCAGAATTGAGGTACTGCTCTTCTCACCATCTCGGATTTGCTGCTGATTTTTTTTCAATATAAAAGCTTCATCAAATACAACATCTCTGCTTATCTCAACCTTCTTGGTGTTAGGATTCCAAAGTTTGAATCCTTTCACCCCTTCATTGTATCCTAGAAAAATGCAAGGTTTTGACTTAGCATCAAACTTTTTCCTCTTTCTATCCTGCAATAAGACATAACAAGGGCATCCAAAAATTCTCAAATTTGAGTAATCAACAGAATTACCAGTCCATACCTCTTCTTCTGTCTTGAGTCCCAATGCTTTGGAAGGTGATTTGTTTACCACATAACAGGCCATATTAACTACCTCGGCCCAAAACTGCTTTGGTAAATTTGCAAAGATTCTCATGCACCTTGCCTTCTCTAGCAGTGTCCTGTTCATTTTTTCTGCTACCCCATTCTGATGTGGTGTGCTTGGAGTAGTAAGATGTCGAGTAATCCCTTTTGCTGCACAAAATTTCTGAAACTCTGCAGAGGTAAACTCTCCACCATTATCTGTTCATAGATATTTTATCTTCTTTCCGGTTTCTTCTCCACTTTTGCCTTCCAAATCTTGAATTTCTCAAAAGCTTTAGATTTATGCTTCATGAAGTACACCCAAACCTTTTTGGAATAATCATCAACAAAGTTAACAAAATATCATGCTCCACCACTAGAAGTCACTAGCGATGAACCCCATGTATCTGCATGCACATACTCAAGAATCTCCTTGTTTCTTTTAGTAGATGTTGTAAAACTGACCCTGCATTGCTTTCCACAAATACAAATATTTGCAGAAATCTAATTTGCAAGATTTAACATCATCAAGTAATTTCCTTTTGTGTAGTTCTATCATGCCTCTCTCGCTAATGTATGTCAATCTCAAGTGCCATAACAAACTAAAATCATCATCTAAAGTGGATGTGACAATTGCATCCCCAATGATAGTTTTTCCAATTAACCTATATAATGATCCATTTTTCTCTCCTTTTATGACAACCACGGAACCCCTTTTAACTTTTATGACTCCATCAGCCCCACTATATGTACACCCAAGATCATCTAAAGCACCAAGTGAGACTAAATTTTTCTTAAGATCTGGGACATGTCTAACATTTGTTAATGTTCTAACAATCCCATCAAACATCTTAATTTTAACTGTCCCAATCCCAACAGTTTTACACTCGACATTATTTCCCATAAGAACTGTGTCGCCAACATGTGAGTCATATGTAGAAAACCAATCTCTATAAGGACACATATGATAAATAACATCCAAAATCAAGTATCCAAGGGATCCAAACCTGAGGAGACTGTAAGAAGATCTCCATCATTCTCTATATCGAAAGCAACACTTACCTTGTCTGCAACTTTGCCTTTCTTCTTTTGAGCCTCTGCAAATTTCTTGCAATCCTTTAGCCAATGACCATCTTTCTTGCACCACTTGCATTGTGTTTTCTTCAATTTGGATTTTGATCTGTCTCTATTCTTCTCTCCCTTCTCTTTAGATCTGTCCCGTTCATAACCCAAATCTTTTGCAGTTAAACTTTCACTATCACTAAAGGTAGGCTTTCGCCGCATCTCGTTTGACAACAAAGTACTTGTGACCTCACCCATCACCAATGTATCATTCCCATACAAGATGGTCGCCACCAAATGATCATACGATTCTAGGAGATATGAGAGGAGAAGAATCACCTTATCTTCTTCATCAATCTTCACATCTACATTGAGAAATTGTGTAATCAACCGATTGAGTATATTCAAATTATCCAATAAATTGGTTCCATCGACCATATGCAAACTGTATAATTGCCTCTTCAGGTATAACTTATTGGTAAGAGATTTTGTCATATACAATTTATCTAACTTTGTCTACAAGCCAATGGTGGTTTCCTCATCAAGTATGTTGTACACCACTTCATTTGCCAAGTATAACTAAATCATGCTCAATGCCTTTAGATCTTATTCAGCCCACTCATCACTTGTCATCTTCTCTACCTTCTCCTTTCCAATGAGAGCTTTGAGAAGACCTTGTTGTACCAAAACTACCTTCACCGTCTTTTGCCACAATGCAAAATTCATATTGCTGTCAAATTTCTCCACCTCAAACTTTATAGTCGACATCTTCGCCATCGTAAGTATTTCATAGATTTAATAACCTGGCTTTAATACCATTTGTTGGTGTAGAAGCATTGGATCACGTATCCTAAATCAACCTGTGAAGAAAAATGGAGAACACACAAAATGACAAAGTAAACAAAAAAAAATCAAGCAAATAGAGATGAAGACACAAGAATTTACGTGGTTCGGAGAAAATCCTCCTACGTCCACGGGAAGAGAACACACTCCAAAGAGGGATCTTTCATTAAAATTGTAGAAGAATAAGAAGAAGTAGTAGATACAAGATAGCCACTCCTTTTATATCTGACTTTGTAGTTACCATGCACTAATAGCCACATTCTATAACTACTTTATGGTTACCATGCATTAATAGCCACTTTTTGTAACTAATTTTATTTTGAGTCAATTCCAACAAAGTGTACCTTAAGAAACTTAAGGGTCCGTTTAGTTTGTGGGATGAGGGTGAGAAAAAGAGATTATTCCAAAAATATTTATTTTTTCTCTTATTTGTTTTGAAGAAAACAGGGGGATGGGATGAGAAAAATGTGGAATGTGGGATCCCAAAATTGTGTAATCGGGGTCGCACCAAAACAATGTGGCCTTGGTGGAAAAACTTAAGTTTCTTCATTCACTTGAGGAAGGGGGATGTGCCTTCTTCTTCTTCTCTTCAATTGGAGTAAGGCGATGAACCAGCGATGAAGAGTTTCCTTACCATGGACCAACGACGACGGCGAACTGTCCCCCTTCCTTTTGACAGCGGCGACAAAACAACGATGAAGAGTCTCCTTACCACAGACCAGCGGCAACGACGATGACGGCAAACAACAACAAACTAGCGATGACATCGAACAGTCTCCCTTCCTTTGGACAGCAGCGACGAACCAGCGATGAAGAGTCTCCTTACCATGGATCAGCGACAATGACGACGACGACGAACAATCCCCATTCCTTTTGACAGTGGCGACGAACTGAATACTGTTCATTGCCTTCCCTGTTCAAACAGAGGAGGCGGCAGTGGCAAGAGAATCAGTGCAATGGCAAGAGAACAAGGTCATGGCAATCTGCTTCTTTGTCTGATCGCCATTTTCTTCACCCCTTTAAATTTCCTTCTTTCTCTTATCGCCGCTGCAACTCTTGGCAACGGCATCTGCTTTCTTAGAACTCCTATCTCTCTTGGTACTTTTCCTACTATTTTCTCATATAAACCAAACAATGGAAAGATAAATTTTTACACCATCCTATCCCATCTTTTTCCATTCCACCCAAATCTTCTCACAAACCAAACGAAGCCTAAAGGTACCGTAAGACAATATGTAAAATAATAAGGATATTGTTAGTCAATTTTCTAAACCATAAGGATAATTTAAAAATTTTGCCCATTCTAAATTTTGTCCTGACTTGGAATCAACTTGATCCGTTACCAAACAGGCTTAAAAAGACCGAATGTGTGAATATCGGGAGCTTATCTTCACGCCAACGTTTGTAACGCCAATTTAAATCTCTACCTGTTTGAAGTATAAAGCAGCTAGAGAGATAAACAGAGACCGAGCGCGCGCGCGCGAGCGAGCGAGAGAGCGAGAGAGAGGACCTTGTTTGCCATGGAAGGATTGAAGCTGGTGGACTCTCTGCATGGAAACCAGAGTGGGAAACCTCTGATTCGACTCTCCAGTTCAATCTTAGCTTCCAGAGCTAGCTTTCTTAAACCAGCAAAATGCAGTCTTTCCTTCACAACTGGTACTTTTTTTCTCTTTTGCTCTTACTTATAATTTTTCATTCTTTTAGAACCTAATTGGAAACCTTTAGGGTTTATTCTGACCATTGGTGAGTTTCATCTTATTGGTGCTTAATTTTTTTTTTTTGCGTCCAGTTTAATCTTAGTAAATGGAAAATGAACTAGAAAGAAAAAGTTGTAGATTTATTCATCCTCTGCAAACCAATCAAGACGAGAGCACGAGTAAAAGGTCATGGTGCTCCCTTGTTCTCTTTTATAGGGACAATTTTTGAATCTCATTAGAATGGTACAATCTATTCCTAAATTTTTAGGCTACTTTTGTCTGCACATAACAAATAGTTTCCTGCAAAATGATGTTGAATAGGGAGCTAACTTATTTTCCTGATTTTCCTCGTTAACTTGGAAAAAGAATCTGAATGGTTGGGAAGTACATGAATGCTGTCAGATATGAACCAAGACGACCAACCTCTATTTAGAAAATGACTCGTGGAAGATAAGAAGGAATGCTTTCTTCCTATAATTACTACTCACTTTTGGGAAGTGTTCGTTTTCCTTATCCATTTAATGAGAAGCTACCCCATAAAATAACATTTTCTGGAAATCATCGGTTTTCTTTCATTTTATGTGCAATCAAATGGAGCCTTAATCTGGTCGGATTTTGGCAATGGCATACTGTATGCCTAATGGTTCGCAAATTGGTAAATTTTCCCCTGTGAGGTATGCTGGAATAGAACAAAGTGGTAATTTTGTTCCTCATGATCGTGCTTACAGTTTGAACTATGAAACAAGCCCCCAAAATGGTAATTTTGAAATCCCTAATAAAAATTTACAATGTAAATTTATCAGAAATTCAATTATTGTACTGACTAACATGAAAATGTAAGGCGCATTTGTCAGTCATTCACTGAGCAAATCATGAAAACACTGATTTGTTTCCAAATTGGATATAAATGCAAAATGAGAAAGAAAGCTTAGATTTAAAGATCTTTAATCGTAAGTTGTGGAATACTTGAATAGATAACTCCAATCCATTGTTTTTGGATGGCCCATTTTAGCAGTGGGAAGCAACTTTCACAGTCCTCATTGTAATATAAAATGGTTTTATGATTTTCTTTTCCTATTTCATAAAATTGTGCTTGTATATCAGATGCATTCTTTTGGCTGAACAATTAAGGTTTGGTTATAGGTTGCAGGGAATTCGTGGGTGTTAGAGGAAGAGTGCCTACTCAAGTTTTTCCAAGTGGATGGCTCTACAAAAATTCTAATTCGAGAGGATCATGGGAAAAGGAGTTCATAATAAGAAATGCATCAGGTCTGTTTCATAATTTATATACTGTTCTGTTTGATTTTATAGCTTTTTAAGTTTGTTGATCTTGTCTCAGTTTTCATATATTTCCTTTCAGCACCAACACAGCCTATCAGCAAAGAACTAGTAAAAGATAAGTCTAAAGAGTCCCTAGTGAGTGGGAATTCCATACGCCGTCGGTTTCTTGAATTCTACGCTTCTCGAGGCCACAAGGTCCTTCCAAGTGCTTCACTTGTTCCAGAAGATCCCACTGTTTTACTTACAATTGCAGGAATGCTACAGTTCAAGCCTATATTTCTTGGAAAGGTATGCTAATTTTTTTTATAAACTTTAGGTGGTATATTTCTTTTTATCAAAGGAAGAAAAAGAAAAGAGTAACCAACCAAGTCAGAAACATTGAAAGTTTATTAATGTCTAAAAGTGAACCCACGTATTGAATTTGTACTCTTGCTAACATTTTCTATATGTGTTTTGTATAGCACGAAGGTTTTCAAATGTCAAGGTAAAAGTGAAATTTAAACAAACTAAACAAATTGAGTTCACTATTTGCCCAAAATCTCCATGGGAAATCTAACTATTTTAGTTCTCTAACCTAATCATACCTATAAAGGGCAGATTTCCACGTTTATGGCTGAAAGAGATCTCTGAATCTCTCTTGAATGTCATGTTCCAATTTGCCCAAGATGTCCTCTATGTGAAATCACACTGTTCCCTTTGTCTCTAACTTTTATCTCTCTCTAGTCTGGATTTGTTAGGCACCAAATAATGTAGTTCAACCTCCACTCTTTAGGGTTCATCCCACTCACTCTAGGCTTTGATAAAATTGCTTTTCTAGAGCTTTCTATGTCTTATATAGAGAGGTAAACATATTGGGGGTGTGAGATCTATTAGGGTTTCCAAAACTTAAAAGTGCTAATTAAAATAGGAGAAGAATTTCTCTCCACCTTGAGATAGCAATGTACATCCCTTTCTGTATAATGTGTGGTCAAGATTAAAACATCATTTTAATATTATATCCAAGTCCAACAACTCCTCTACAATTGCTCTTAAGTCCTTGGAAATTTTCACTTAGGCCTCTTCATGCAAAGAAGATTATAGTTTTGCCCCTCCACACAATAGTGTCTAATTCTGGTTGGGAAACCACATGTGTCACTATTTGTACCCGACCACCATCTAAATGGGATTTATCCAAGAGTTCTGCTCAGACAGACAAACCACTTGAATATCACCTACTTGGTCAAAAGTACTTCCAAAGTGGATGCTATCATATGATAACTTGGGTATATTAGGGATTCCCAGTTCAATCAAGACACTGTAGGATAAGCCCTAGGAAACTTTCTTTCTTGTGAGTCTAGTGCCACAAGGACTCTTTCCATATTCATCATGTGAAACCAGTATACTTGAGTTCTAATGCATCTAGAATTCTGCTCTAGGAGTTCAAGTTAAATTATGATTCTTTCCATACTCATTCTGGTGTTACCCTAAGACTTATATAGGAGTCCTGCTACTGGGATTCCACTGCTAGAGTCTTAGTCTAACTAGGATACTTGGCCAGAGCCCTGATGTAGATCAAATTCTTAGATATGAAACTTTCCTCTTGTTTGAGGGTGTAGATCCCTTATTGGACATTCCTAGAACCATAATATCACTTTTAACCTCCTAACATATAGAGTATGTTAGTCATAATCTAATAGTAACCTCACCTGTAGTATATCAAAATGACTAATCATGACACCACAATCTTGAAAACTCCTTAGGTCCAAGGGGAGAAAAGTCTTTGCATTGGAGTGAATCATTTCCATTGCACACCACATAGTAGAAAAGTCTAAACTGGATCAATATTAGTGATGTGGACGCATTTATTGGGAAGAAGTATAGCCGCCGGCAGCAGTAGTAATTGGGTGTTCTCAGTTCTCATCTTATCTAATTCCAGCTAGATACAGTCTTATCTTATCTAATTATAGTTCTTATCTTATCTTATCAGTTCAGTAGGATAGATTAAGGAAGTCTTATCTTATCTTATCAGTTCAGTCTTATCTTATCAGTTTAATAGGATAGAGTAGTAGATTAGCAAGGAGTCCTCCTAAAAGTAGAATTCTACCTCTTGTAATCTCCTATTTAAGGAGCTGATATTATTCAATAAAGGTATCGAAAATTTCAGTCAAAAAAGAGAGCAAAGGAGAGTTGGTGATCTCTTGAACAAATCACCTTTTAGGGCGGCAAGATAGATTCTTCAAGAAAAGGGAGGAACAAGGGAAAATAGGAGGTTTTCCCCGTGGACCAACCCGTGATGAGATCCTATTTCTGGGCCCATAACAATTTGGTATCAGAGCAAGGCGTCATGGGTGACCTTGAGCAGTTGACGACTAGGGTTCATGAACTAGAGCTCAAGATCGTGGGAAACAACACGGAGGTGCGCGAGATCAAGGACGACGTCAGAAAATTAAGGTGCTTGATGGAGTTGTACTTTTCCAGCAAGGAAAGGAACCTGGAAGGGGCTGCAACCACAACCGGCCGCCGACCAGACATGGAAGAATCGTCCGACGAGCAGTAGGTCGTTGCCCTAGCGCAGGGAAAATGTTCTCTTGAATGTGGGCCTGATACGGATGCCGATCAACACTGTCAAGGGGCTCCAGCATCCCGTGAGGAAAAAGTCAGCAACCTTAAAACT